AAAAAGAAAAATGTGTCGTAGGGCGCAGTGTAATATAAGGATTCCACTTGGCATGGCACGTCAGAAACAACCCGCGCGAGGTTCTGTCATGGCCATGACCTTTGCTTATTAAAATGCGGACGAAAGAAGCCTCATGTTCATCTATTAGCAATGCCGTTGTTTTTTAAATACGTTGCGGGAGAGCTGGAGGTAAGCTGGTAACATCCGGGTGAATTAAGCCAGGTGTTCCCCAATTAGGAATGTCATTGTTTCTCAACTGTGTAGCGCCAAAATGCAGGTGTTCAGATTACAAGAATTACATAAATAGACTAGGCGCCACGCGCCCCATGTAAGACACATGCGCACGGCATTATGCAGGCACAGATGGCGGAGTTGACAGTGACTAATCCTTGATGAAATCGTGCACCGCACAACGTCCAGTGCCATCTAGCGAGGCAGGCGGCAGACGCATCTTCAGTGGCGCCCTTTATAATGCTGATTGTGCCTCCAGTCTGTGGTGCTGCCTGTACCCATAGACAAGGCGTGTTCTATAGCAATTGCAATGACAATATTAATCAATCACATGCGGTGATAAGCTAAGGAACCATTAGTATGACATATGATCGATCAACTTGATTTTGATTTCTATTGATACTATTTGCGTAAATTTTCGCTCGCTTCAATGGCGTGCAGTGATCGTACATATGGTGTGATATATTGCTTCGAGTGCGGGCGCCATGTTACCGAAAACCCGTGCAATGTTCTGTCAGGGCCACGGCCTTTCGTATGGCATGGTTCTGACAGCACAATGGCTGACCAATCACATGCTGTTGTTAATGTGCCATTGCTTTCTGATGAATACTCGGCGTGTGAGATTCAAAAGAAGACTCCATCCAGCGCAATCAGTATGAATATTACATGCATTAACTCTGCATTTGGTCCTTTCCAGGCGACGGCCGTGTGGCGACCAGCGAGCCTCCCGCTGCGGCGGCGGCGGCCGCTACCGTCACCACCGCCTCTGCACCGTCGCTGACGCCGCCGCTGCCTGCGCCTGTCCGCGAGCCTGGCGTTGTGGCGACGGGTCCACAGCCCGAAGCCGTCGTCACCGCCCCGGCGCTGCCCGCTGCCGATGCGGCCGCCGCCTCGGCGCCGCCGCCGCAGCCCGTGACTGGAACCAAGCGGCGTCGGGATCTCTCGGCAAATGGCAAGGAAGAGGGCGGCGAGGGCCTCAGAGGCTGGACCAGAACGGACGAAACGGCTCTCCATCAACGCCGCAAGTGCAGCCTCTGCCCGGCAACAGGAGGCATCGCCGGAGCGGCAGGAGCGGAACGCCGTCCGCCTTGCCGCTGGCCGGCAGCAGGAGACATCGCCGTAGCAGCAGGAGCGGAACGCGCGGAACGCCGCCCGCCTTATCGCTGGCCGGCAGTAGGCGTGGCAGCAACGCGCCGCGCGCATGGCAGCGCTGCACTACGCTAGAGGCACGTTTATGGCGCTGCCCGAAATGCAGCTGGGCCAGGTGGGGGCCGTCTGCGCCCACTGCGGCGCGCTGTGCTGGCGACAGGAGTCGTCCGGCGCCTGCTGCCACGACGGCAAGGTGGCTCCGTCGCACCTCCCGCCGCCGGCCCCAGCCCTGTGCCAGCTGTTTGAGCTGGAGTCGCCACACCACCGGCACTTCCGTCACCAACATGCGGGCGTACAACAGCGCGTTCCAGCTGGCCAGCATGGGCTGCAAGGAGGTGCACCAGCCGGGCTGGAACCCGACATTCACGGTGCATGACAGCGTGTGCCACCGTGTCGGCAGCCTGTTTGCCGGTGGAGGGCGCGCAGCCCCAGTACCTGCAGCTGTACTTATTCGAGCAGGAACTGAAGGCGCGTGCCAACATCTTCACCACCTTGCGGCAGAATGTCATGCGGCTGCTCCAGGACATGCTGCACGAGTGCAACGCCTACGTGCGAGGCCTGCGCTCGACGATGGAGCTGGTGCAGCACGCCCCCGATGACATCAAGATCATCATCAGCGCACAGCGACGGCCGCCCGGCGAGCACGAGCGCCGCTCCAACCTGCCTGAGACCGGGGGGGGGGGGAGGGGGGGGGGCGGTGCCGACTATTCCGGACGAGCCGAGGGGCGTGCGCGACATCGTGCTGCACCGGCGTGACGGCGGGATGGAGCGCATCAACGAGTGCCATCGAAGTTACCACCCGCTGCATTGTGTGTTGCTGCATCCGCACGGCACGCACGGGTGGTCGTTCGAGATGAAGCGCGAGCTCGGTTCGAGATGAAGCGCGAGCTCGGCGTGACGGCGCTGCAGTACTGCGCGTTCCACCTGCGCTACAGACCCGGACACTTCAGCATCATGCCGCGCGGCCCGCCGGCTCTTCCAGCAGCTGCTGGTGTGCGCCTCCGCCAGTGCAGTTGGACCGGCTGTGCTACCTGCGGCAGCACCAGGACGCCGTGCACACCGAGACCCTGCGCGGCGTAGCGGACGCGATCAATGCTGATGACGCGCATGGCGCCGCCATCGGGCGCGTCGTGCTGCCGGCAACGTTTGTCGGCGGCGCACGCTACATGGTGTCGAAGCCGAACGACGCCATGGCGTACGTGTGCGAGTACGGTGGCGGGGACCTGTTCATCACCGTCACCTGCAACCCGCTGCGGCCGGAGATCACCGCCACGCTGGAGCGCCAGTACCCCGGACAGCACGCTCAAGACCATCCTGAGGCCGTGTCGCTGGTGTTTCGCCAGAATGTCCGGGCACTGATGACCACTCTCCGGCAAGGTGGTGTCCTTCGGCCGCGTTGCGCGCCTCCATCTACACCATCGAGTGGCAGAAGAGGGGCCTGCCGCACGCGCATGTCGTGCTCTGGCTGGCGCCGGAGGACATGCCGCGTCCCGACCAGCTGGATCACTTTGTGCGCGCCGAGATCCCGGACGCCGACGCCGAGCCGGAGCTGCACGCCACCGTCACCACCAAGATGGCACACGGACCGTGCGGCACCCTCCGTGCGACGGCGCCGTGCATGGTGGACGGAGTGTGCAAGAAGCGGTTCCCGAAGGCCTTCCAGTCCATTACGGAGGTGCACGACACGGGATACCCCCGATACCGGCGCCGCAGCCCCCGTGGCGGAGGACGCACGGCGCGGATCTCCGGCCGGCCGGGCGGCGCCGTCGAGGTCGATTCCCGGTGGTTTGTGCCCTACAATCCGTTCCTCAGTCGCGCCCTGGACGGCCATGTCAACATGGAGATCATCACCCACGCCGTTACGTGCATACGGTACGTCATCAAGTATGTCACTAGGGGCGGAGACCAGGTGATGTTCCGGGTGTCGACTGGAGACGAGGTGGTCGACGAGATCGTCACCTACCAGCAGGGCCGCTACCTGAACGCCATGGAAGGCGACGTGGCGGCTTCTCGGCTACCCCGTCCACGAGCACCAGCCGCCAGTGCAGCAGCTGCCCGTCCACCTGGGCGGCGACGACCAACCGCTGCGCTTCCGCGCCGGCGACAGCCCGCGTCAAGTGGCGGAGGACGCTGGCGCCGACAACAAGCTCACCGGCTTCTTCAAGCTGTGCGCGGAGGACGAGTTTGCCCAGACTCTGCTCTGCCACAGTGTGCCGCGCTACCACACGTGGCAGATGGGAGCTCGGTGCTGGCGTCGGCGCCGCCGAGGCACGCCGCACCCGGACGTTGCCGGCATCTTCATCGCTGAAGACATAGGCCGCGTCTACGCCGTCAGCCCGCGCGCCGGGGAGGCGTTCTTCCTGCGCCTACTCCTCCACAACGTGCGTGGGCCGCGCTCCTACGAAGAGCTGCGCACGGTAGACGGCCAGGTGAGCACCACTTTCAGGGGGGCATGCTCGGCACACGGCCTGCTGGAAAACGATCAGCGCTGGCACCGGGCCATGGAGGAGGTGACCGTCGTCGCCTTCCCCCGCCATTTGCGGCGGCTGTTCGCCGTGATCGCAGTCGAAGGCCGCGCCAGCTGCGATCTGCTGCGGCTGTGGCGCACCTTCCGGCACGCCATGTCCGAGGACGTGCGCCGTCGGCTGTCGCGGGCGGGCGGCGGCGGCGGCGTCGACGACACCGAAGACATCGACGAAGCCGACGGCAGCGGCGGGGACACCCAAGACACCGAGCACGAACCTGGTATGCGGCTCATCTACGTCCGCGACCCTGCGCCTCATCGGTCGTCATCTGCGCCGCCTCAGCGGCCAGGATGCTGGCCGACGTCGGCGTGCTGCACCCGGCCGACACTCCAAGCCAGCCGATCGCCGAGGACGGCGGCGAGGCGCTGGGCCGCCAGCGTGCGCACGTGGCCGCCTGCCGCTGCTGACCGACGAGCAGCGCGTCGCCTACGACGAGGTCATGCGGCGGCTTGACGCGGGCAACAGTGGTCCCATGTTTCTGCAGGCACCGGGAGGTAAGTAGGCAACCACACTTTCAAAAGCGGAAAATTTTGCGATTGCATCACGTAATCTGTGTCGTCAATGACGTTCGCAACGTTCGCTGGCCTGCTGCCAGTCCATTGCATTGTGTCGCGGCGTGCAAGTACGACTAACGCGCTGTGTCCACACGTGCTGTGCTATAATGCTGTAGCAGTATGGACATGTGTGTTTTCGATTTTGCGATAGCATGATGCACCAAACCGCAAGCACTCGCCATGCCATGTGCGCTCGCAGTGCGCCGTTCCCGGCTGCGTGCGGCATTCGGACATGATGGCGGATTGAACAGCATGTCTTGTACATGTGCGATGCACTTCTTTCTCCGGCAGGTTCTGGCAAGACCTTCCCTGGAGAACCTGCTGCTGACGGCTGTGTCCGGCGCCGGCGGCGAGGCCATCACCGTGGCGTCGTCCGGCATTGCCACCAGCCTCCTGGACGGCGGCACGATTGCCCACTGTCGCTCTCACATCCCACACCCCACTCCACCTGTACGACGCGTTCACCTGTGACCCGCGCGACAGCTCACCGGCCACCGACGACTTCAGACGCTGCGTGCTGCTGGTGTGAGATGAGGCGGCAATGGTGCATCGGCGGGCGGTGAAGGCCGTCGACGCGGCGCTGCGCGACGTGCGTGAGTCGGAGAGGCCGTTCGGTGGCCTCCTCACCGTTGTCACGGGCGACTGGCAGCAAATCCTGCCGGTCATCGGGGGCGGTGGCAAGTGCCACATTGTCGACGCGTACCTCAAGTCGTCTCCCCTGTGGCAGCACGTGACGTGCCTCACGCTGCGCACCAATATGAGCGCGCAGCTGCAGGGGGACGCCGAGGCGGGCGAGTACGCCCGTTTTCTCTGCCGGCTGGGGTCCGGCCAGGTGCCCCGGTGCCCCTACACAGAGGACCATGTTAAGCTGCTACCGGCGGTGCGCAGCTCGGCGTGGTCCTTGGCTGAGTTGGCGGCCCGGATTTATCCCGTCCTGTCGCAAAAGAATTGGCGGCACAGAGTGGCTCGAAGAGCGGGCCATCCTCACCGTATTCAATGCCGGCGTCAAAAGAATCGATTGTCACATCACGCCATTGACCGTCCGCAGGAGCCGGAGCACGTGTACAGGAGCGTAGACAGTATGTCCGACCCTGACGCGGTGCCGCTGGCCACCAAAATTCGTAACGGCATCGAGCTTTCTGGCATGCCAGCACATTGTATCCGGCTTAAGGCCGGCGCTCCGGTCCCCATGCGTAATCTCGACGCACCCAGCTTGGTCAACGGCTCGCTGTGCGTGACGGTCGCTTTGTCCGCCAACGTCCTGATTATCACCGGTCCAGACCGCGGCCACGTGGTCGTTGCGCCGCGGATTCCGATCGAGTCTATCCCGGACTCTGGCCTGGGGTTCTTATTCCGACGCCTGCAGTTCCCCGTGAGCGTGGCGCTCGCAATGACAGTCAACAGCAGGCAGGGCCAGACGAAGAAGCGGCTGGGCAGATCTAGGGTTTTGTTTTGTCGAAAGAACCAGTGAGAACCAGGATCCGTGGTCTTGTTTTGTTGAAAGAACTAGTGAGAGCCAAGATTCAGGGTCTTGTTTTGTCGAAAGAACCAATAGGAACCAGGAACCAATATTAGGAACCAGGCACATGTCTGTAGGGGGGAGGCAAATTGATCCCCCCCCCCCGAGCAAAGGGTGTCTAGCCGGCCAACCGGACGCGTATTAAAGCATATTAATTTCATGGCAGTATTATGAGCATGACGAATCATCAACACCAGTAATCTGATGCTGCACTTTTCAATTCCCTTCCGCAGCACTTTTAAATAAAAACCAAGCAAAGGAATTCAATAACGAAATAACAAAAGAAAATTCAACACACGTAAAACACTCAAACAAAAAACCTTGGACTCCTACACATAAGCCCATCACCCAGTCACACACAATTGACATACTTCTGGTTTCTTTTAAGATGGGGCCAGGGAAAACAAACATTCTGCCACTGTTTCTTACAAAATGTCAATGCTTATTTCCATGAAAGTAGCCTATACCTAACCTAAAGCGGCCTTACATCATCTCATCCTGTATAAACTGTTTAACTGGATGAGATGAAACTATAAACATAGCAGCAGTTGTGAGCTTCTGATTCTTGCGCAATTCCTATTGCTACTTGTCATGCACTTGACCGACTTAACCTAACTTAGAGTAGCCCATTTATGAACATCATCTCAACTCACCTATCTGTTGACAGCAGCACTTGTGATAACAACATGATACCTAAAGCTAGTTTTTGGCGGGTTTGAACTTGCATTTTTAACCAGTTCATTTGTGCATGTTTGTCGACATCAGACAAAGTTGACAACATACAAATCGACACACTTTAAATCACTTTGAACAACTTATTTGATTATCATGGTTAACTTATGTCAAGGGCAATGACGGGTATGTTCCACAAAACAATCTCTCTTCTCCAAAATTAGCATAACTTTTACATGACCATGCCAGTATCGCTGCTTGCCTTTTCAGCTGCAGCAAATGCATCCATTTGGGCTTGCTTATTCATATTTAATGACGAAGTGTAATATGTTGGCTTCATATTTTAAATTGGATGGTCTATTTGTTACATACTAATATTTTACTCATACTATAATTGCTATGCAGGTTGGAGTATACCTGTGCTAAAAATATAGTGCATGTATACAGTACAGTCATTTGCCGGTCAGCAAACCAAGACAACTATACAAAACATCTGGTTAAAGCAGACATGAGGGAACACTTCAAGAAATTTGGGGCAAATTACCAAACATACGGAACAAAATTAGCCCATTGCATGCCTTGTGGCATCATAATTTGTCTTACGACAAAACTCGATGGATTACAATAGAAAATGGCTAACTCTGGTTACCAATCATGTGTTGAAAGCAGGTAAGGTAAGCAACTACTTGGTCCACAGGAGACTTACTGGCTTCTTCCTGCTCCCCCCCCCAAAAAAAAAAACAAAAGTCAGTACCTTTTGCATGGCCTGCTGGCAGACAGGGTCATCCCACTCCCCCTTCCCGCCTCCAAATATAAATATCAGTCATGCCCACCAACCTACGAGATTAAAATGCGAAACAAATAAGAGGTGTGCATGATAAACATCTCCAGAGGGCAGAATTTTGCCATGAAACACTTTTGTATTAGCTGCGTCAAGTCTGTCCCAAAGCTCTGTATGGCAGCATCGCGATAGCCTTGTCAGGTAGCCTCGTGAGTCAGACACTCGAAAGGCGTAGATTTATCATTGTTGAGCACCGGCATGAACCAAGAAAACGGTTAACCGAGGGTTTAAGACGGCAAAAATTGCGGTAAAAATGAGAGCCGTGCTTCAAATTGTCTCCTTCAATCCCTGTGAATTGTTCACGCTTGGGCGCATATCAAACATGTTTGGGCGGCTGGAGAATTAATCCAACTTATGTGTGAAATACGTACAAGTTTGCACTGGGAGCATCTTGCAAAGAAATTGATCAAAATTGTAAGCAGCAGATGGTACCTCTAAAGGCAATCGAAAAGGATGGACGAGTCAAGTGGTGTTGCACTCGTATGATGCCAAGAAAAACAAAAGTAGGTAAATAAATATAAAGACTGGTACTTTTCTCGCAAAATTTTGTAATCGACTGATTTGACTGAAAAGTCTGTTAATATAAGTGCTCAAATGGTGAAATTCATCTTGTAAGTTTAAGTTAGAAGAGGTTTCTTGAACTTTTCACTCCTGCATTTCGGGAGTGATGCAATTCAGTGGTCAAGTTTCCTCGGGAAAAATGAGAAAAAAACGGAGTAAAATTCTCTACCAGGCCTTGCTCGTGTTTGCACCAGGCTCTGCTTTCGTGGCGTGGTGGTGCAGACCAAAAAAATAGGGGATGCGTGAAAGCCTTGCATTTTGCGCACAGGTGTATATTGTGATGCATCTTGTGAACAAACCAAACTTAATGCGTGCCAGCGGCTGGGCCCGCTGGGGTTGTTGGGCCTTGGAGGTACCGAGCGCCCTTGCTCTGTGCATACATAGACATGATTCAGATGTAGGTGAGGCAGGCCATAGCCCTTGGTGGTTTCAAGTGAGCTCGGTTATGGAGGAAATCTGAAAACCTCAGAAAGGGAAATAGCGGTTTGGCATGTGCGATTAGGACAATGTTAGGCAGGGGTGAAAAGTTCACAAAATATGGGGAAAAGGAGTGCAAAATTCCTCCTCATAGGGTGTTGCTTGACACCCAAAGTCGGCAATTCTAGGACACTGTATCTGGGCTCGCAAGGGCTGGTAGAGGCCTGAATGTTCTTTCCCAGAATTCACAAGTAAAGCGGCTACATTTTCAGCGTACATCGCGATTTTGTGCAACGCACCGTTGCGTCGCAAATTGCAAAACAGGTTGCAACAACCCCAGTTTTAGAAACCCAAGCCGAATAGAGGCCGCTTACCGTCAAAACGATACGTGATCTAGCGTTAAAACCTTCATCAGCGTGTCGGCCGATTCGTCCTGTCTCTGATGCACCTTTTTGTTGACCGCATTTTAAAAATTTCGCTCGCCAATGGGCCTAAACTAAGTGGCTGCATGGCGGCATTTTCGCCGCGACGGGGGCCAGTCGCTGCCCCGGCTCCCGGCATATACTCAAGGCGTTAGGAGTTAAAATGGCCGTTCGCGCGGCAGGCTTTCGACTTTGCTCACATCGTCTGCCTTCGTATTAAAGAACGGGCCCGGTAGCGGGCCGGCGGACGGGTGGTACGCGGAGGCAATCTCGGCTCAGGCATGGCGGTCGGCGGCGCGCCGTGCATTGCGGTCGCCGCTGCGCGTACAAGCATGGATTTTGTTTTCCTGCATTCGCAATTGGCGTGGATACACTTTCAGTCGCATCGCGAGTTTGTGCAACGCACTGTTGCGCTGCTTTTTGCAAGACAACTTCAAGATGCCAGGTTTGAATATTCAAAACTGGTACGGTCGCGCTTATCACACGGACACGGGATCACAGATGAATTTTGTTCTCTTCTGTGGATTTGCACATTTTCTGTCCACATTTCGGAACTTATGGCACTAACGAGCCTTTGATTGGCGCTTCAGTGATGAATGGAAGGAGCGACATGATCATGTTTGGTGACACGTGTGGCTTGTCGTGGCGCCCAGTGTGTTAACTATGGATTTACACGATTTTGCTCTTTTGAGGGGCTTGCACGTTTTCGTGATATCTCAGAAACCAGGGATTGCAGTACACAAAGACTGGCATGCTTCGATAGGTGATCTAACGGGCAATCACTGAAATGTGTATGATGTCATGCTGCACGTGTCATGTGACTCGTGCACATTGTTTGCGAAGCTGTATTTTGCCGATCTTGTCCATTTTTAGGCTTTACGTGAGAGTTCTACTCTTGTAGCGCGTAGTAACACTGAGACCTGGCATGCCGCGATAGGCCATTTAACTGGAAATCACATGGCCACACGTGTCACAAGTACGGGGTGGCACGTTACACGTGTCGGGCAAAACACAAGCCAGGAAGATGGCTTTTGCTCTTTTCCACGGGTTTACATGCTTTGTGCCACATCTCGGCACCACGGGCACGGACGAAATGGGGAGCGGAATGCATTTATGAGAAATCCAACAAATAAGGACGCTGCTTGAAATGTCACGTCGCACGTGCTGTATGGATTGATGGGGAATCACGTGGCATAGATTGCTAGCGCCACGTATGCGCAAGCCAGGAAAATTTACTTGACCGCTATCCACCGTTGTTCACTCTTCAGTACAATAAGATGTTGGATGTAACGGTAGTGCGTGCTGTCATCATTCAAAGGCGGATTCATGGAAGTGGCGAAAATCACCGATCACGTCCCACGATCAATCACCGGTCGCATGGAATAAGTTTGCCTTTGTTGCAGAGAGGGCATGTCAAATGCGCTCTCTCCCGTCAGCGGCCGCCAGAGACCGCCAGCACCGCGCAGAGCCTGCGCCAAATTTGGAGGTGGAAACAAATTTGGAGACGATATTTTTTCGAACAAAGTCGAAAATTTTGAGATTCGCTTTTTTTGTCATCAAATTGAAAAGGCGTTGTCGATTTAGTACGTGTGTGAAGCAGCAAGAGTTTCTGCGCATGTAAATAGTCTCTATAGCAATTGCCGAAATATTTATGCGCGGCTTCTGAGGTTTATTCAACTACTTTAATCCTCTGCAAGTGAGAAAGCTTCAAGTTATACCATCGTATTCGCCGTGCGATTCCGCGTCTAATGACATCTACTAAAATGAGAATTCACCACTTGCACAATTAACCACTATTGATGCGCGCCAATTTCCATGGATTTGTTTCTGAAGCCAGCTCCATTTGAAAGCAGATTGCACGTGGAAACGACACACACTTGATGGAACAAAAACATATGGCCTGTTGTTGTAAACATGGAAGCAAAAACAAATCTCGCCAC